GAGAGGAGAGGAGAGGAGAGGAGAGGAGAGGAGAGGAGAGGAGAGGAGAGGAGAGGAGAGGAGAGGGGTGGGAAAACTGGAGAGGAAGGACGAGGAAGAGAAGAAGGAGAGAGAGGGGCAGACAAGGAGGGACGAGGAGGTTGGATGAAAATTGCAACAAAATCGAAGAGAGCAAGAGGGAGGGAGAAAGGTAGAGAGGGGGGAGTTTGTTCTCACCAAATAAAAGTTTGCAGGTTGTCTTTGTGATGTGACATGACTGCAAGAATCGCATTCAGTGCATTCAGCCTGACGTTCGAACTTGAGTTCATAGCAACGTCAACGATCTTGTTGACGCAGTCAAACTTCTGCCCGAGAAGATGTTTGCGTCGCAAGACATGACGGACAGAAAGGTTTGATTGCTTCTTAGGCGAGCAAAAGCTCTTGATCAGCTTACACACATGCGCAACTGATTTGTCGTTGTCAACGACGAGGTGGGAGACGATCTTCTCAACAAGTTGAAAATCTTGCAACATCGCATCTCCTCTCCTCGGATCGTTCTCGACGATGGCAGCAAGAGCTCGAGCTGAATGGCTCACAGCAAACTGATTTCCATCTTGTTGCAGTGATTGTATGAGAAGACTGATTGAAGCTTCGCTGTCCGATACTCTCTTGAGCGTTACATCGTCGAACTCGACAAGATTTGCAAACAGATAGCAGAAGTTACCCATCGCTGACATGTTTGCTCGTTTCATAGCAACTCGGGTCAGCATGTCGAGGTTTGCTTCATCTGAGCTCAAGATCTTCTTTGCAATATGAGATGAGTCACAGATATTGAGCAGCCCCCGTGACATGTAGAAGACAACATCCTCGTTCACCTCCTCTTCCTCCAAGCACGTCACCAACATCCTCTTCATGCCCTCGTTGTCTCTGCAGACTTTCTCTGAGAGGACCTCTGAGTTGCAGCAGATGGCACCGAGAGCTCTCATCGCTGCCGACTTGACAAGCAAGAAGGGCAACTCCATCATCGCCAGCATCACTTCAATCATCGTCTTCGATCTCTCCACTAGCTTGCTCCTGAAGCTTTCACTGATGGCGAGGTTTGCAACAAACAGGAAAGTTTCGACAATGATCCACTTCTCTTGATCGCAATCGTCTCTCCTCCAGTTGTAGTTGTCTTCTCCCTCAGTTTCATCGGCATACCTCCCATACTTGTCGTTTGACAATGTTCTGATCGTTCCAAGATCCCAGATCTTTTGCCATTCCTCTTGTTGCCATCGGTATTGCTCAACCTCCACCTGAGCAACTTCGATCAGAAAAGATTAAAAGCTTGGCAGCAAACAGCGAACAAACAAGCAGAGCATGTTGGACATAAACTTGTGTTGACGACGAGGTAAAAACTAACAACTCAAAGACAGCACAGCCTTCATACCGATGAGAAGAGACATCATTGCACTTACCTGCTTCACTCCTCGAGTAATCAGCATCATCACAATTTCCAGCATATTCGGCTGCTCTACAAGTCTCATCGTGTTCTTCATGTCATTCTCACTTAACCCCCGCAGAGCCACCAGCGCCTGACTCGCACTGTCCTCCCCTGCCATGCTCAGCGACCACAGCAGCAGGTCCATCACCTCCTCCTCCTCCCCAATCCTCTGCTTGTTGGCATGGTGATTCCTGCACAAGTTGCCTAGCATGCGAAGGAGCTGACCTCGACTTCTCTCCTCCATCTCCCTCCCTCGCTGCACCAGCCTCTTCAGTGCCTCCTCCTCTCTCCCGACCTCCTTCCTCCCCGCGTACGTCTCGCTGAGGTTGGCCAACGCGCGGGTGGCATGGAAGAGGACGAGGCGGCTGGAAGACTCTAGCGCGCAGGACAGGATGAGATGGACTGCCCCCTCCCTCATCGCCAGCGCCACAGCATGGCTCGCGCTCTTGTCCAGCAGGTTGGCAAGAGCCGACATAGCACAGACCTCCATGGTGCTGCTGCCGATACTGGAGAGCGGGTTCTCTCCCGCTGCCCTCCTCCTGCTCCTCCTCCTCCAGCGAAGGAGGAGGAGGAGCGCCTCTAAGGAAGAACCGGTGGGCATGCTCTGCTTGATAGCGTCGTAGCTGGGCCCCTTGTTTGATGCCATGGCCGCAAGCGCCAAAATACAACTTCTGCAAGCCTCCTCTTGAAGCATGTCAGACTTTCCTCCTCCAGTCGAACTCTCCTTGTCCTCCTTGTCCTCCTTGTCCCTTTGCTGCTGCTGCTGCTGCTGACCCTCCTCTTGCCCCTGCTCCTTTGCGAAGAGATCCGGCAAGGAAGAAAGAATCTCCTTCATCACCTTGAGCAGACGATCGACGGACCCGCTGGTCTGAGCTACAAGAGCAGAGACCTTATGGTTGTTGTGGGAGAGGAGGAAGAGGCAGAGAGCGCAGTGTATGCAAGCAGGGAGGGAGCAGGAGGAAAGGTTCGATGACAGATTCTCGATGCAGGAAGGAGACTGAAGGAGAAGGCGGCGGCGATTGTCGGGGCTCGTCTCGAGGAGGCGCAGGAGGGCATAAGACGCTCTCACGCTCGATCTCTGGTCGAGGAGAGCTACGGAGAGGAGGGGGAACAGATCCCCGACTTCCCCCATCCTCTCCCTCACCGCCACCACCTCTGAGACGTTGGCGAGGATGTCAACAGCAAAGTTCCTCTTCTCGCCCTCTTCCTTGAGCAGCGCTACTATCACTTGCATCGACGCTGGCGACTCCATCACCTTCTTACCCATTTCCTCGCAGCTCTCAGTCAAGTTCGCAAGAGCCATCAACGCTGCTACACAGGAAGAGGAGGAGGGAGAGGAGGAGGGAGAGGAGGAGGGAGAGAGACATCTCCTCCTCATCAGCTTCATCACGCTTTCTGCTCCCCCCGAAATGTTCATGACTGCGATCTGATTCCTTCTGTTCCCCTTCACGAGGTTCGCGATCGCCTCGCAGGCATTCCTCTCCGCTCCCTCCTCCTCTAGCTGTGTCATCCTCACTAGCCCGCTGACAGCAAAAGGGATCTCCCTCACAGCATCCTGCAGCTCCTCCTCCTCCTCTACCACGTGCCCGATCGCTGCCGCCGCGTTCTTCCTCACTTCCAAGTTGCTGTCTGCCATGAGTTGCACTAGGATCTGGAGGCAACCGGGAGAGGACGCGATGAGATGTTTCCTCCTCCTCCTCCTCCCTCCCGCCAGGTTTGCGATCGCACAGACAGCATTCTCTATCGCCTCCTCAATCCTAGCAGAGGAGGCGACCTTGACCAGGGAAGAAACAAGAGCATCTTCATCCTCCATCTTCATCTTCACTTCCTCTGACCCCTCCGACAAGTTCGCAAGAGCAGCTGCTGCGTTGGCTACCGTGAAGTCCCCTCCTCGCCGCAGGCAGTCGACTAGTAGACGAATGATTTCTCCGTCCCCGGACAATCTCTCCTGGTACTCCCTGCTCTTGGCTGCTATGTTGGCGATGCAGCACGCAACATTGTTCCTGCAGTCGTCTCGTCCTCGTGCCAGGCAGCCTCGCAGGATCGTCAGCGTCTCTTCCTCCTCCATGAACATCTTCTTGCTTTGCTCATGCTCGTGGCAGAGGTTCGCGATCGCAGCGGCAGCGTTCCTCTGACAGTCCGCGTTGCCCTCCCGCAGGGCAAGCAGAAGGGCCCCAACAGCGCGGGGGGAGGAGGAGACGATCTGTTTGCTCTCCTCGCAGCCATGGGCAAGGTTCCCCACCGCAGCAGCCGCGTTGCTCTGCACCTCTTCCTCCTCCTGCTCAAGGGCTGCAAGCAGCACAGAGACAGCGCGAGGGGTCTTAGCGAGTTTCAACTTGTTGGGAGGAGGCAGTGAAAGGTTTGCAAGCGCACGTATCGCATGCTTCTTGCATTCCCTCGACCCGCTCCCTGCGATATCGACTAGAGTCACGAATCCCCGCTGAGCCTGCGCAAAGTCCTCGCAGTTCCGCCTGCTGTTGTCAAACAAGTTCGCTAGGGCGCAAACTGCTGACTTGGTTGCCTCCTCTCCCCCATCGCGGCACAGCCTGATCAGCTCATCTACTGCTCCTGCCTCTCCTGCGATGACTGTTCGGAGCTCTGCCAGCATCGCCATGCTCGCAAGAGCTCGCGCTGCATGCCATCTTGCCTTCTCTGTGCCACTGCGCAAGAGGCCGACGAGAACTGCGAACAGGATGGGTCGCTCAGCAAGCAGCAGCTTATGCTCCACGTTGTTCTCCAGGAGGTTCGCAACGGCCGACGCTGCTGCTGCTCTTGTCTTGTCGTCTCCGTACCTCGCACATGCCAGCAGCGCCTCTACAGCTCCTTGGGTCTCCACTATCTTTTTCTTGTTCTCCTCCCTCTCCGCTGCGAGGGCTGACAAGGCGGCAGCTGCTGCAGCCTTGGCGCCATGGCCAACGTCTTCAGCCTGCAGAATCCAGGTGATGCCGGCAAGAGCAACCTCTACCTTCCTCTCCTCCTCCGCTAGCTGAGTCATCTCACAGGCTGCATGAGAAGGAGGAGGCGACGGAGAAGGCAGGGTAGATGAGGTTGCCAGGGGGAGGGAAGAGAGGGAGGGAGGAAGAGTGGAAGGGAGGGAGGAAGGGAGGGGAAGAGGAGGGAGGGGAAGAGGAGGGTGGGAGGGTGGGAGAGGGAGGGAGACGAGAGATCGAGGAGGAGGAGGGAGGGTGGGACGACGAGAGTGTGGAGTAGACGTGC